TGGAATTCGCTCACATCGCAGCTATCATCCTATCAGGAGTAAGATAATATAGAGGAGTATGACTCTCCAAAACATGTGAATTTCAACATTTGCTTGCCTAATTTTACCGATGATATATTACGTGCAACTCGATAAAAATTACATCAAAATGAGCGTTGGCCATCCATATCTAACTAAAACTTTACTTTGTTGAAATACCTCTTGCCTTTACGGAGATATAGCTTTGAACGTCACACATGGTTCATAGTGTTTAACTAAGGTGGCAGCTCAGATTACCCGCACATCCGAACTGTTGTTATGAATTGTGAGTAATGCTCTCTTGTCTGTTGAATAGAATGCCCCCTGTTGGCGGTGTCAAGCGGGGTGCGATGGGGGGTTTGCAACACACGAAGGTCTCGCGCAGCATTACCTTGTGGTATTTATAGCTGTGACCTATGATTCTGCCGCGCGTCACGGCTGCGTGTGCGGATAAACAGATCGTCAGATGTCATATCATTAAATACGGTTATATAACATAATGCGTAATAAGAAATAAGAAATTATTCATTATTAAAATAAGACTGTTTTTTTGTTATTATTCTTGATGAATATTGCTCGTTGTCGTTCAGCGGCTGAAATAAATTTTGTTTTGACTAATTGTTGCTATGGAAACATACACACACAGCTGCTACGGTGCTAGTAGAGAGGGAGTAACACTTGCATTAATCATTATGGCATTTAAAACACCCGAAAAGGCTATCACACATAGTAGGCTAGATCCAGCGATAACTACAACACCGAGACGGTCGCCGAGGCTGGCTGAAAAGAGGAAAATCATAGGTAAAGACCACGACTACGCTGAACATGACCCAGATAACCAAGAAATATTTAACACTCTCGTTGACCACGTAAAGATGTACTCTGAAAAGCATAGTCACAGTTTGAACACGTGTGTTGATTTTGACATCGAGTCAGGCTGGTGGCTGAGAATATATCCACAAAGTGTTCACATTCCAGAAGGAAAGGGAGGGCCAATTAGCGCAGTTAATTTATTGGTGCATGAGACAGGGAAGGTTCAGCTGCGAATTCTGGAAGCGATTATTGAGGAAAGCAATTGTGTGGATGGGAATATGAACATAAGCGATCTATTTGAAGACATGCTGCATAAACTTGTAAGCTGCAAACCATGTATGGGAGTTAGTGAAGCGCAATACAAATTATCGACTGTAAATGTGCATCATACAACATCGTCTGTGAAGAAGGAATTTCCTTATGTACGCTACACTTCAAGAGCCTGCCAAGTGTTCATTAAGTCATCATCGAAAAGTAAACGAGACATGTGTAAAAAGTGCACGGAAATGATGTATCATTTACACCGGGTCAGTGCAAGAACAGGAAAACTTACACATTCTGCTAAAAAAAGGCGATTAATTCCATCATCCAGATACCCCATCGCTTGTCTATCACCAAAAAGTCGTACCAAAAGATCTAGGATGAACATTCGGAATACTCGCAGAGTAGAAAGAAAACTGAGACAACATGAGAAGAAATTAGAGGATCTCTCCATACAGCTCAATGAAAAACAAAGTGATGACATGAGTCGTGCGGTCGAGTTCTTGACGAAAAGCAAACAAGGACAGGGGGCATTTCAACAGCTAATGACTGCTACGGAGCAAGAGGCGGGCAAAGAAGTAGTTGACAAAATGAAAGCAGCCTGGGAAAAAGATCAAGCTAGAAATAGTAAGCAAACACTACAATTACATAAGAGAAATTTATTTTGTGTATTACCAGAAATCGTTCAAGGAGTTTCTTGATGTATTCTAATACTGCTACTCCTTCGTAGTAATAAAATGTAACAACAGTTTAGCAACACGTCGTAATAGTATTCCCACCTTATAGAAATTATATTATGTTATGTCTTATTTATTACAGAAAGTGGAAGCAGTCTAATGCCTCTGTCTGCAATTTACCTGACAGAAATGGGTAGGTCTGAAATTACTGTACAACAACTGTAACCGTNTTTTTTTATCCTTTCATTGAACTGCAGAAAAGGACAAATTACTCTACATTAAATAGAAACTGAGGTCAAGCTGCTAACCCTAACATATAAATAGGAGGTTCACGGTCAGGTGGCGAGCTTAATTTATCACTTTCCTGAGGATGTTATTTTTTAGATTTGCGACTGGATGAAAATTATTTTGTGGCATTATGCTGTTATTCAGTTTATGTGATAATGCGTTTCATAATAATGGGAAAAAAGGCGAAGTCACTTCGACTTTCGTGTTCTTCCCAATAACAGGTTCCCCGCTACCCTGCTACCAGCTTATTACCCTGGTCATAAGCCTACGATCAGCCTATGATCATGACATTTATCACCCTCCCACCGTCTCTTCTTTTCTCTTCTCTTTTCTTCTCCCTCTCCATCTCTCCTTTTCTCTTCTCTTTTCTTCTCCCTCTTCACCTCTCTTTTTTTTGTTTCCTTTTTTCTTCTTCTTTTTTAGGCTGAAAAGTGGTACGGTCAATCCCGTACCAACCGTATTGGCTCCGACAGGCCTGTCTCACACACTCACCATGCTCATTCACATTAATATCTTTTCAGCATTGGCAATCTTCTCAAGAAGCCCGGCTGCCTATAAGGCTCTGATGAAGCTTGAAATACTGCAACTGCCATGCGTAAGAAGTTTGCAAAGAAAAATGGAATCTGCACTAGAAGTTTGTGGCATATCAGAAACAAATATGAAAGCTGCAGCCGACTACTACAAGCATTTCAAGCAGCAGAAGGTTGCAGAAGGATCCGCAGAGCCAAAGGGTGAAGGCGTGCTCATTTTAGATGAAGTGAGGGTGATTGGAAAAATAATGTGGAACAGCAAGAACATGCAAATGTACGGTGTCGCAATGACAGCTGATGACTTCACTTCATTGCATGACATATATGAAACACTGGAAGACAGGAAACGAGTGGCACCTGCTCAGTCTGTGCTACAATTTCTGTGGCGAGATCTTACATCTTCCTTTGATGTAATTGGACCGTACTTTCCTACAGAAGCTTCACTAGAACATAGATTTCTGATATCGTGCTTAACGGAAACCATGCGGCTGTTTGAAGCATGGGATTTTCACACAGTGTGCATAGTGTGTGATGGTTCTGGTGCCAACCTTACAACAGTGAAATTGTTTACAACCGGTCTACGGGGACCCTACCAANTTAAACATCGCAAAATATCCAACTATAAGCCTTGACTTGGTGCCAACTGATTACCCGTACGACACAGCCGGTTAACCCAGACAACCCGTATCCGCCAGTGCGCGGCTAGTAAAAACCACCGCTGATTCTGTGCGCTCCGATGCATCATGAACGATTGGTCGTAAATTCAGTTGCATCGGTGATACGGCTGCTCGCTGAACGTTTTACTGAAGGTTATGTAATTCGATGCTTGATACTACTAACCCAAAACATCGTATAACCCAAAATATAACATAAACCGTTTTCCTTATAACTGAAAATAATGCTATGTTGCTAATTGTATCAGATAATTTTTTAAATATCTGATATTGGTGAAATCCATACAGCGACCACGCCCGGAGCACGTCGTACCACACTGTATATAAACATTAACAACATTTTACTTTAAATGCCTACGACCAACACATGATACTAAATATCTATACCACATGATATTCTCCTTTCCTATTACAGAATTGGGCGACTTCCAACCAACGTCTACACGAGAGAGAAGATTTCTAGCATGGCAGACATGGGATTTACTCAGAATAGCCGTGTTTGGATTCAAGGGCGTCTGCAACGATTTCTTTGCTAGGCACGGAGATCAACATTTCATTGCACCCCTCAGAATAAATGGGAGCGCAATAGAGAGTCTTTTCTCTAGGCTGAAAGCATATACAGCTGGCAAATAACGTCCATTAGTACCAAACGTCAAGAAAAAGTATAATAATTCAGGATGAGACTAAACACCCTAGTGCTGAAGGCTATCGTGACGTGCCACTATTCCATAACTATGACGGTTGAAATGCATTGTAGATCGTTTACAGCTTCTTTACGTGAAATGCAATAAAAGTTTCATCTCGTAAAGTTTAATCCACCTTTCATTAATGGGTTTCCTGCCCGATCTGACTCTCTTAACTGATGTGCAACAATGCACTCGTAACTCTAGCATTAACTATTTTACTCTGCACATCCTATGAAAGTTTGCAATAGTTGTATCCTTATGCCTGATGTTCCTCATGTGACACGCATATAGCACAGCTGACTTGAAGACAGTGGTGGCCAGGCTGCTCCATGTTGCGATTACGTGGGAGAGGGTGACCTATAATAATACTAGAATGATGGCGTCATGTTAAAGTAGTTGCAACAGGCGTGCGACGGTGCAATGCGTGTTGAAGTGCTTTCCATTTTGGGGTGGTGTTTATATAGCTTTGTTGTAATGACAATAAACAACAGAACCAAGTTATCAGGTAAACAAAGCCATGTACCCATGTACCCAGGTATGTATGTATGAACGGGGTACATGAACACAGTAGTACACACATGGGTAGTTTGGATGTGCATGTGTGAAATGATTGCTGTTTTGCACACCCAAAACTACCACTTTGTTTTACTGGGCTGCAAGCAAGCTTTGTTATTTATAAACAGCTAGTCATTTCAGCCTTCCGTCAACATTCCGACACTGTCAGTCATTAACCAATATGTTAAATTTATTATATAGCTCGCGGAGTTAATGTCACGTCCCATTTACGTCATCGTCACGCTGTTGGCTAATAATTTGGTACGAAAGTTACATCAACCAAGTATGTACAATAGATTTTAAGTCGTGATCCACACTTTACATGTTATAAATCACTGAACGCGAAAGTCACTACCTTTAACCACTCCATCTGGAACGACGCGTAACTTTCAGAAGATTGTTCGAACAGCATTCGTCATGATTGGAATTTTGGGATAAACATTACCATTATTTTAAACTGTATAATTAAAAGCAAAACAATAAAAGATTTGTGGCTTATTTACCACCTAATTTGCATATACATCGAAATCTCTTTACGCAATATATGTGCCCAACAAATGTAGAAATAGTCACACAAACCTTTATGATGTTTTTCCCATACAAAGCTATTCCGTCTTCGGAGGCAATTGTTCGGACTGCACGGTCCAGGTTTCTGAGCCAGAGAAGGAAAACTCTATGTGGAATGAGAAAACCTCCTCTGTCCCGTAACCTCAGTGGTGTCGGCATGGGAAGGCGTTGCTTTTCTTCTTTTGTACGCACACCTGAATAACAACGTTTAATCTTGTACATCATTCACAAAACAATAATGTGCAGGGTGCATATAAGTTGGCCAACGTACATAAATTATACGTAGAATACATTGGAAAATTTATTAATCTATTTATATATTTGTTGCATATGTTGACTGCATAGGTAATACTTACAGGTGTACAGCAGTTGCAATATCGCAGTTCCTTCTCTCTTCTGCCTTGCCGACCTCGATCTATGTCGGCGTGCGAGTACTCGCTTAACTAGTTGCACGCAGCCACCAGCTATTGCGAAAAGCGAGTACTCCGTTTCTTCGTGTAGATGTTCAACGGTGGCCAGTGTTTCTTCTGTAGCCGTCTTCATTTTGATCAACTGGTCGCTGGCCTGTGATAACATAAACATTTAAATATAAATGTTAATTAAATTACTTTGATTATTTAACTAGTAACATATTTGTAATACTGTAGCGATCCGGTAGTCGTAGTACTAGATGGTCGTACGTTTTCTTCATTACCCCTTTGCTGTATATAAATGTATACATTTTCGCCTTGAAACAGCATAGCCATAGGTAACCCGACCAGGCTGTGTGAATAACGTCAATACACCCTATTATTCTAATATAATAATAATAATATTCTAATAATAGTAAATATATAACGGTATTCTAACCCTAGCAATACCGTTTCTTGGAGCTAAGCCATAGGTTGCAACGAAGTTCAAGTTGTTTATTAGAACTTTTGTTTTGGTTGCTGTTCAAATGACAAATACATCCTAGTTCATTAACAAGGATAAATGATCGGGCAAGTTTTAATTACCTTACGCATTACAGCAGCAGCAATTGCATGCCCTAGTGCGTTGAATTCCTTTGTGGTGTCGGGTCTGACAACAAGCGCCGTAACGGTTTTCCATTGTGTACGCAGTGAATGTCTCCATGATGTAGCGTCACTGTCACAATGAGCACTAGCTGCTCCACACTTTACATGTTCTAAATCACTGAACGCGAAAGTCACTACATTTAACCACTCCATCTGGAATGACGCGTAACTTTCAGAAGATTTTTTCGAACAGCATCTTTCGTACAGGCTCGTAAACACGAGGAACAACTGACCAACGAGTGCCACAAATACACCGTGATCATGCATACATTTCAGTAGCAATTGCCTGTTGGTGTTGCCAACCTGCATGTGGAGTTCT